CTTCAAATCGTTCAGCCCCCACCCTCTGCTTTATTGTCTTCATCTACCTGTCACTACCAGCAGGACACCACTTCTTCATACTCTGCCACCTACCCTGCACCCTACAGAACCCTGGCTTCACCCTCCTTGTCCGCTAGCGTCTGCCCAGTGCTCACTGGTGAGAAACTTCAGATCTCTACAGGTCGTCATTATTTCCCGCAGACCCTGCCAGCTGGACTTCACAGTTCCCCTGAACAGTCTCCAAGGGGCTCAGGAAGCCACGGGACAGACGGCAGGGTAAACTGCTGGAAGGTCTCTGCTACCTAGGGTTTCCATTCAGTATCTGGAATAGACTGCTATCAAAGTCTCCTGATTCCACGGGTTGAAGGTCCTGTCGAAAACAGGAGTGGAGGATGGGGTGGGGTGGGGTTGTGGCTTGAGACCAAATCTGACCTGTGCAGGGGAGAGCACAGAGCAATGGTTCCACAGGAAGGCCGACCTGGGCCCCTGGCAGGCTGACCAGTGGGGCAGCCGAGGAGACTGTCCTGCAGCGCCACCTGGTGTCACATATACTCAATGCTTCCCAGAATAGGTGAGAGCAAGCCTCCCTAGCCACCTCCCACACAACCTCCAGAAACACTCCCCACTGCTCTCCTTTCCCGGGACTTCACTCCTTCAGTGATTCCAACAGACCCACCTCAGTCAGGAAACCTCCCCAAGCTGCCCCAGCTTTAAATGTCACTCCCTCCAAGGTCTCCAAGCACGGAATGGCACTGTCCACCTCTGGGGACCCAGGGCAGAAGTCACACAACTCTTAACTTTGAACAGTGGAATTCCCCTTACCAGCTGTTGTGAGCTTTATGTCAAGCAGATAGAAATTACAGTTCCATGGAATTGTGAAGATTAAATGATAGCAAAGGTCAGATGAGGTGGCCCAAGGGAGAAAGGTGCTTGATGCCACGCCTAAGGCCTTGCGTTCAATCCCCAGGACCTCCACATTCAGGATAAATACAGTACATGTACACATTAAATACATGTATTAAAATAATGATAGATTAAATACAAAGTTTGAAGAGTCTAAGAAGAAAACCTTCAGGAACTGAAGGAAACAGACAGAATGGTCTAGGAGGCAGAAGGGAGCCACAGACCCCTTCTCTGGGCTGCACGTGTTCTGCTAAGGGGAAAAGGTCAGCCTCTTCAGTCACCGTCCCCTTCGGCTCTGACCTCCTGCAGGTAAAGGTCTGCACTACACACCCCATCCAAAACCCTCCTTGCCTCTAAACTAGCCTTCTGCCCCAGAGGAAAAATCCTCACAGGGAGCCATGTTTACTGCTTCTGCGTCCCAGGAGGGCAACTAATCCCCTCCCTCGAGCAGCCAGAAACCAGAGCTGGCCCCACTGGGTGGGGACCCAAGGACCAACTGTCACAGCTCCAGTGTCACTGCCTCCTACATGCCAGGGCCCAGAATGGAGTAGAGGAGCCTTGTTAGCCAGCTGTCCTGGGGGGGTCCAGGCTCCACCCCAGTCCCTCGGAGTTGCTCAGGGGAGTCTGTAGGAGATCAGGCAGAGAGACAAAGGGACCAATGACCTACCCTTCCTTCCAATTTTGGTGGCTCTTCAAGCCCCAAAGGTGATTTGGCCTCACACTTACCCTCTTTGGCCATGTAGGTGAGTTTCTGTTTTCATGAGAGCAGGGATCAAGTCTGAAATCACTTTTACCCAGAATGCAGAAGTTTACCCAATATATTCTCATCAGCTGAAATAAGTTGAGAGCCGGCAAGAAGGCTCACAGGTAAAGGAGCCTGCAACCAAGTCTGGGGACCTGATTTTAACCCCTGGAACTTCTTCAAGTCTGTCTCTTGGTCTCCCGCATGTGTGTTGTAACACACACACACACACACCCCTCTCTCTTTCCCACACATACACTCACAACATAAATACTAAAAACTGTTCTAAAGAAATTAGCACACTGAGTGCGTTCCAGCATAAAGGAGAAAACTAGCAGCACATTCAGCAAGAAAGGCAGAGGCTGGATATCTAGGTATATTTCCAACAAGAGGTATTAAGGAAGGAAAATATGATGCCGGGAGGTGGTAGCACACGCCTTTGATCCCAGTACTCAGAAGGCAGAGGCAGGAGGATCTCTGTGAGTTTGAGGTGAGCTGGGGCTACAGAGAAACCCTGTCTCAAAAAAAAAAAAAAAAACAAAAACAACCAAACAAAAAGTCATCAAGCCTGCCTCATGCCTTTAATTCCAGCAGAGGCAGACAGATAGATCTCTGTGAGTTCAAAGCCAGCCTGTTCTACAGAGTGAGTTCCAGAACAGTCAGGACTACAGTACAGAGAAACCCTGTCTTGAAAAACCAAACCACACAAAAAAGGCCATCAAGATGGCTCAGTGCATAAAGGGACTTGCTGCTAACCCTGGGGACTCACATGGTGAAGAGAGACAGAACCTGTTCCCACAAGTTGTTCTCTGACCTTCATGCGTGTGTTGTGGCACGTGCACAGCCATGATATACACATGAAATACAATTTAATAAAAACAAAAGGAAAGTAGAAGCCTCACAAAGCATGGGAGGGAGGCTGAACTGACCAGGCCAGATGGAGGAAGCCTGTGAGAAATACAGCAACAGGGTAGGGGGGTAAACTGAGGCTAGCCTGCTTGGTGTGGCTTCCTTACCAACTTCCTGGTCTCCCTCTCCAGAACTCCGGTGTTAGGTGTGTGCTTCTATTTCAGTACTTACTATGTAGACAGCCAAGCATGGGTACTCGAGATTGCTCAGAGTAGACGGGAAAACGGTCTCACAGTATTTTCTACCACACTCCTGTCCTCGGGCCTCCACAAGGACCTTGTCCCATTGGGGCACCTTTCCTGCCTTGCACCCATGCATGCATACATGCACACAAATACTCATAAGGATTCGACGCTCACAGTCAATTCAACAACTCAACAAGGTCCTTTGGTTCCATAGCATGAAAATAGGAGTCAGGGCAGTAGAGGAGGGTAGGAGAGGGGAGACGCAGAGGCAGGGAAGGAAAGCTAAGCAGGACCCATGCACAGCAGCCCAGGCTGAGTGGCATTGGCCTGAACAAAGGAGACCTCAGCCTCAGGAGCAAGAGCAGTTTTCTTGTCCCCATAGCTCCTCTTCACTTGCGGCTCTGCAGACACCTGCTCCTGGGGGTACACCTGAGTCCACACACACATGACCCTCCAAGTGCCAGGCTTGCATGTGCTCTCTTCTGCCTTGGAGGATGTCTGGAGTCACCGCGTGTGACCTTGAGTTGGGGGGGGTACTAAGACACCCTGCGGACTGATGCATCCCGCTGCATGGGGGGTTCCGTGGGGTGCCACCTTGCCTACTCCAGCTTTAGTCTGTCCCTTTCTCCTTTAGCAGCCGTCCACTTCCCACTCAAGATTCGCAGCCACCCACTTCCCACTCAAGATTCTGCCCTTTGCTCCCCTCCCTGACCGAATCCCCAAGGCTTTTTGGGTCATTAGCCTCCTGCCTTAATTGGTTAAGTGGGGAGGAAGACAGAGACTGGGCAAACTCGGGGGGGGGGGGGATCTTGTTTCAGTGAGAGACAGGAAAGCTCAAGACAGCTGGTGGCTCCACTAGTACCTGGTCCCCAATAGGGGTAGGGAGGTGACAGGAGTCAGGAGGCCCACTCTGCCGTTCACTCTCTCCACTCCTGCTGGCGGGCATGGACATCCAGCCCAGAAAATGTGTTGATAATCTGTTCAATCTTCCATGCAGGGGCAGCCCCTCCCTTACTCAGCTTCCCAGATCCTCTGTCCAAGATTCTCCTTCGTAGAAAGGGAAAAGCCTGCCTGCTGGGCATGAACCCTCAGACCCTCCCACCACTTAGCCCTCCCACTTACGGGCAAACTCACTCTTTCCAAGAACCAGTTTAGGAACTGGGCCTGAAAAAAAAAGACATCCTACACCCCGAGGCATACCTACTTACTGCTATCCAGTTTGGAGAAGGTGGCTCTTAAGCGTTTGACCTCAAGGCCTTTAGACACGGTCCTATTCCTTCTCTTGGACAAAAGGAAAGCTGAAGAAGACACAGGCTAGAGCCAAAGAAAAGACTGCAGTAAACCCAACTCTCTCTAAACTATCTGTCGAGTCTCAAAAACTTAATTCTGATCTCTCTTCATATATTTCTAGGGCCAAAGGGGCTGAATTACTGGTTAATAAAATTAAGAGGCAGGCATGAGAGTCGTAAGGGGCAAATGACCTCCACTGTATTCATGGCTCAGGAATGAAGGGCTCCCAATCTCACTCCCGTTACACCCAAAGTTCTAGGCTCCAAACTAAGTCACACGAAGCCTTTACGGCCCTTCCAGGCTCCCTGCTCAGCCCTTCACCCCTATCCTCTCTCTCCGCGCCTCCTCTTCCACACCCGGTTACTGCACGGTCCACGGGGGCGCGAACTAACTCACCTCCCAAGCCGCGGCCTCTGAGATCCTGGAACTGGGGGGCTGGAGGAGGGGGAAGATTTACTTAAGAGATGAGCGGCCCCCATCCTCTACCAGGGATACCTCTTCCACCCCAACGCCCTTTCCCGGACCCCACGTAGCTCAGAGACTCGTTCCTCCTATCATAGCGGCCAACGGGCTTTGTTTGCTCCGCGAGTGCGCTCCCCAAGGCCTGAGCCTGTGGACTCCGCGATCACGAGCGGAGGAGGGAGGACACCGCAGCCACGCGGCCGCTCCGCCCCGCTCCTCATTACCATAAGAAAAAGGCCCGGGACCCGCGGGGCCGGTGGCCGACGTCTTTCCACGCCCGCTCCTTTCCCGCATACCGCCAGCTCCTGAAAATTCCCGGACCACGACTCCCCGCCCACCCGAGCTTGGCCCGCGAGCGGTAGGCAGAACCCAAGGGGCGCATCCTCTTGCCCGAATTCGTCCCCGAGCCCGAGAAACTACAACTCCCGGCATGCCCCGGGCGCCCCCGGCGCGCCCCCCTCCCGTCAGTTCCATGCTGCTCCATCCAGTTCATTTAAAACAAAAGAGTTTGAGCGCTGGAAGGGGCTGGGCTCTATTGGGGGCCACTGAGCGACGCTCGGGGACTGGGGCTCGGTGCGGGAGCCTAAGGGGGCGTCTGCTCGGCAGAGGGTAGACACTCCGGGTCCGAGGCGGAGGGGTGGGGGCCAGGGCCCGCAGCCCCCCACCCCACCCGTCACCCCGGAGCGAGAGGAGATCTGCTTTCTTGGTTTTGCTTCTTTTCCCCCACCCCCACCCGGGGGCTGGGGCGAGGGGAGTCAGGTTACAGGGTGCTTGGGGAGGGGGGTTTAGGGGTGGGTCTATCTTTCTATCTCGCTTTCTTCCCCCCTCCCCAGCTCTTTGTTCCCCCTCCCTACACACCCCCTCCTCTCTCCCCTCCCCTCCTCTCTCCTCTTCTCCCTTCCACCACCTCTCTCTCTCTCCCTCTCTCTCTCCCCCAGCTTTTGTTTCGCCATGCCTAGTCTAGTGGTATCTGGAATAATGGAAAGAAATGGGGGCTTTGGAGAATTAGGATGTTTCGGGGGAAGCGCTAAGGACCGAGGGCTACTGGAAGACGAGCGCGCCCTTCAGCTGGCGCTTGATCAACTCTGCCTCCTGGGTTTGGGGGAGCCCCCCGCCCCCACGGCGGGCGAGGACGGGGGAGGTGGGGGGGGCGGCGCCCCCGCGCAGCCGGCCGCCCCCCCGCAGCCGGCCCCGCCGCCGCCGCCCGCCGCGGCCCCGGCCGCCCCGAGCGCGGCCCCCGCGGCGCAGACGCCCCAGCCCCCCGCCGCCCCCAAAGGGGCGAACGACGCCAAGCTCTGCGCGCTCTACAAAGAGGCCGAGCTGCGCCTGAAGGGCAGCAGCAACACCACGGAGTGCGTTCCCGTGCCCACCTCCGAGCACGTGGCCGAGATCGTGGGCAGGCAAGGTAAGCGGGTGTCCGGACACTGCGAGGGTTGGAGTGGGGGCTTGCTGTCCCCGGCGCTGAAAGTTCATCGCTTCCCTCTTTGCCCGCCTCTGACTCTGTCCCTTCCCGACAAAGGGGGCCCCGCCCCCTGCCCAGATTCCAAGTGCCACAAAGTTCCCTAGTACCCCTAGTAGGCACGACTCTCGGGACCCTTCCTCCCCTGGGGCTCCGCCCGTAGACAAAGAAATATCCTGGAACTGGGAGAGGAAAGGGGAGGGGGAGCTGCCTCCCAATCCCGGGGTCTGTGCGGAGGGGGTGTCGGCTCCGGGCTGGAAGAACTGACGGAATGTGCAATTACTTGGAAGTCCTTACTCTGGTATCTGCTTGTAGACTGGGGAGGGGGCACTCCTGGGACCTTCTGCCGTTGGAGTTAGGGACTCTGAGCAAGACCCGGTCCCTGAAGCCCGACTGAGGATCTGTCTCTTTGTTGGGCTGAGTGTAGGAATGAAAGGGGGTGTGGCCCAGGGGAGGGTCCCAGTCTGGAGAGAGGTGATGAGGAAGCCCTTAGCAGAGAGGGGTCCTGTGGTCGTTTGTTGGCCCTTGCATGTGTGGGCCCTTGTGTTTGGGGAGGGTGTCTCCGAAGTGGTACCAGCCCTGGCGTGGGCCTCTCCTTCTCCGTCTTGCTTTTGTTCTGGGCTGGCCACGGCCTGGAGCCAAGGGTCTAAAGAAGAGTCTCTGAGTGAATGCGTGGGACAAGGCGGGAGAGGCATGTCGTTGAAGGGGGCAGAGAAACCTCCACTTGGAAATTTGGTGGTGGGTGCATGTCTGGGTGTACTGGGAGGGGTATTGGATTAAGCCAATGGAATATGTTACCACACCCTCCTCAGCCCGGCATGCCTAGGTGGGTGGGAGTGTTGGTAAGTACCCAAATTGAGCAACCTGGATCTTGGGGACCCTTCCCCTTCCAGTTTGGGGGTGGGGGGAGGAGCGGGATTTGGATATTGCAAAGGGGCTGGGCTGAGAGGTGGAGTGGGGGAGGAGCTGCCCCACTGTGGGGAACAATGGAGGGGCTGCATTCCGCGGGAGTAGAGGAGGAGGGCAGTTCCTGGCGGTTGGATGGGGAGGCAGGCTGTGGCCCCTACTTCATATCCCACCTCATCCACCCTAGTATTGGAACTGGAGGATTTGGAATGGGGAGCTGAGTGGAGGAGGGGAGCTTGCCACTCCCCTGCACAGCGCCCCCTCCCACAATCTCTTGGGGTGTCTGGTTTAGAAAGTTGGATTTCCCTCCATCAGAGACACGGGGGATCCAGAGCCTGGAACTGGATGGGGATATTAATATCTCTGCTTGGGTGAGGTCTTGGAAGGCACCAGAATTTAATGCAGTCCTTTTCTCTTCTGCTTACTTAGCAAATGTGTCTATCCATCATCAAAGTAGAATTTCTCTTCTTCAGAAAACATATGTCCTCCCGTCCCCATTCCCGAGTAGGTGGAAGTCCTCTCTGGTCTGCTGCCGCAGTTTGAGCATTTCTCTGACTCTGACCTCCCTTCTAGAGATGCTTCTGTGTTGCAGAAGCCAGGAGGACGAAGCTCTAGGTTCTCTACTGCCTGGCCTCTGGCTTTTCTCCTTAGTCTTATACCAGGGCGTGACCTCCCAAACTCCCCAACTCTCAAGAAACCTAGCTCCCACTGAAGTTTTTGGTTCCAAAACTTAAGAACTGGAGCCTAGGTGCCCATGAAATAGCATATAAGTTGAGGTGGCAGAATGTACTGTGCTTTGGTCCTCCAAGACTCACAGATTGAACCATTATCTACTGCCAATAAAGCAGCAAGGATGTAGGCTTGACAACAAGTAGGACTTCTTAACTGCCAACAGGTCTGAAAAGAAGCTCAGGAGTCAAATTTTCCTTCCTAATATATCTTGTTTTTGTTTTGTTTTGTTTTTTCGAGACAGGGTTTCTCTGTGGCTTTGGAGCCTGTCCTGGAACTAGCTCTGTAGACCAGGCTGGTTTCGAACTCGCAGAGATCCACCTGCCTCTGCCTCCCAAGTGCTGGGATTAAAGGCGTGCGCCACCATCGCCCGGCCTTCCTAATATATCTTAAAGATATGTCCTTAACCCACCAGGTCCCTCCAGTACGTTAGGGTAGAAAAGACACTATTTGGAGTGGAGCGGGAGGAGAAAGAAAAAAACAAGTTCACACAGAGGCCTGCAGTTGAGGGTTGGGAGAGTCAGAAGAGTGGGCACTTGTCTTTGGATTGCTAGTGTGTCAGCGGGGAGATGTGCCTGGGGAGCCCAGGGAGTTTGTGCGAACATGGCAAACTACAGTCTGTGTGCTGGGGAAGACTGAGATAGGGGAGGGTCTGTGTGCATGTGAAGGGTGTTCTGTCACCCCACGGGATTGCTTGCTTGGACGGATGCACTCTGCCCACTGCTTTAGTATCCTTAGGGACATGTCCTCACACCCGTCTGGAGGACAGCCATTGGGGTCTACAGCCCACAAGCACAGCCTCTCTCCGCAGCCCCCCAGCTCTAACCTGCCACTCCTTCAGAGCAGGAGCGTGGGTCCAGAAATGCCCACTTCCTCCCTTCTCAGCCTCCAGGGCATCTCAACCCTGCCTGGGGCAGAGAACAAGAACACAGCTCCTCCTCCTCCAGATGAGATGAACTTCTACTTTCTCTCTTGAAATTCTCACTCCTCGACCCCCACCCCCATCCTGTCCTCTCCCACAAGTCCCACACTGAGTGTCAGGTGCTGCAAATTTTATGACGTGGAGACTCACAGAGAGGATATGGGGCAGAAGGCATGGGAGGTCACAGCACACGATGGCCAATGACCCTGGGTGAGCTAGAGGACACTTTTAGTGAATGGAGGTCACACAGTAGACTGTGTGCATTGGAGTTTTGAGCAAAGATCAGGAGAGGTGACTGAGAAGTTGGTGAGGTGGAGGGATCGGAAGGGCGGGTTCTTAGGGGAGAGTTTGTGAGCAGGTTAGCCGCTTTTCTGAAAGGCTCTGAAGGAGGCGGTTTTGGAGGAGTGTATTTAGAAGGCCCAGAATGGTTGGCACAGGAGAGAAACATGGGGTGGCTGTGCTTGTGGCTATGAGGGCGTCACTGGAACAAGTGAAGGGTTCCTGGGAGGCTGGGATTCTGCAGACATCCCAGTACATCCCTTGTCCTGTGAATTTCTTTCCCACTCTGCTCAGGCTGCAAGATTAAGGCTTTGAGAGCCAAGACCAACACCTACATCAAGACACCTGTGCGAGGTGAGGAGCCCGTGTTCATGGTGACTGGGAGACGGGAAGACGTGGCCACAGCCCGGCGGGAAATCATCTCAGCAGCTGAGCACTTCTCCATGATAAGAGCCTCACGCAACAAATCTGGCGCCGCCTTTGGTGTGGCCCCTGCTCTGCCGGGCCAGGTGACCATTCGTGTTCGAGTGCCCTACCGTGTGGTGGGACTGGTGGTGGGCCCCAAGGGAGCGACTATCAAACGCATCCAGCAGCAGACCAACACATACATCATCACCCCCAGCCGGGACCGCGACCCGGTGTTCGAGATCACCGGCGCCCCAGGTAACGTGGAACGTGCGCGGGAGGAGATCGAGACGCACATCGCTGTGCGCACCGGCAAGATCCTCGAGTACAACAGCGACGGCGACTTCCTGGCCGGCAGCCCCGACACTGCGTTGGACAGCCGCTACTCGGACGCCTGGCGGGTGCATGCCCCGGGCTGCAAGCCGCTTTCCACCTTCCGACAGAACAGCCTGGGCTGCATCGGCGAGTGCAGTGTGGACTCGGCCTTCGAGGCCCCGCGCCTAGGCGAGCAGGGCGGGGACTTCGGCTACGGCGGGTATTTGTTTCCGGGCTATGGCGTGGGCAAGCAGGACGTCTACTACGGCGTGGCTGAAACGAGTCCCCCGTTGTGGGCGGGCCAGGAGAACGCCACGCCCACCTCGGTGCTCTTTTCTGCCTCTTCCTCTTCTTCAGCCAAGGCACGCGCAGGCCCACCGGGTGCACACCGCTCTCCAGCCACCTCTGCGGGGCCAGAGCAGCTGGCCGGGCTCCCTCGGCGACCGCCTGGAGAACCACTGCAGGGCTTCTCTAAACTGGGGGCGGGAGGGCTGCGGAGTCCAGGCGGCGGGCGGGACTGTATGGTGTGCTTTGAGAGCGAAGTGACAGCAGCCCTGGTGCCCTGTGGACACAACCTTTTCTGCATGGAGTGTGCAGTACGCATCTGCGAGAGAACGGACCCAGAGTGTCCTGTCTGCCACATCACCGCCACGCAAGCCATCCGAATATTTTCCTAAGCTCCCTGTCCCTGGTCTGGGCCCGCTGCCCAGGGTGACACCCTGGACCTGTAGGGCCTTTTGGAAAGTCAGTGACTACAGGGCAAGGTGGCTTAGAAATATTCGCTCCCTGGGGTGGGGAAGGGAGGCATGAGTGGCTGGGGGGGCAGCCACTTTCAGAACCTCTGGTTACCCTTTGGGAGGGGGCCAGACCGTAAGTTTTACTAGAGTTACAACTCTGATACCTCAACACACCCTTAAATCTGGAAGCAGCTATAGAAGCTTTTGTTTAGCCTGCTGTCCACCAGGGCATCCTGACCTTTCCCTTCTCCCCATCCGTGTGTCATTTTGCCCCTTCCTCTGTGGAGGGGTAAGACAACACAGGAGGGGGAGAATTGCCATCTGTAACCAGAGGTGCTCTTAGTGATTCCCGCCCCTCTGGTCCTGACCTCCCACCTCCTAACATAACCCTTTATCCCCCTCCCCACTCGTATCCTGAGTTCCCAGCAGTATGAGGGAGATGGGGGCCTATCAGATCTGGAGTGAGGAGGAGGTCAATCAATAAAGGGCTCACAACTCATCTGTCTTACAAAGCTGGGCTGGAGAGATCTGGAAAGAAGCTTCCCTTTCCCTCCAACTTTTTGCTTGGCTTCCCCAGCTTTTCTTCTGGGTTTGCCCCTTGCTTTTTTCCATTTCTTCAACCCCCCTCCCCTGGCTGTCCTCCTTGTCTATCTTCCTTTCCCCTTCCTGCCCCTTCTAGCCCAGCTTTGGGAATACCATCCTCCTGGGGAGAAGTGCCCCCAGTTCCTCTTCATGTACTGGATAGCTCTGTCCCCCACTCCTCCAAAGAACCCGTTCCAGTTCTTGATGGAATGTAGCCGTAGACTCAGTGCCAGTTCGAGAGGGAAACCGATAATGGGGGTATGTAAGGGTTGAAACCCCTCCTTTATCATGTATGGGCATTATACTTAGGGCGCACTTCTGGGTCTTCTGGCCAAGGGAAGAGAAAATGGGAAGTAGGAAAAGTCCTGGGGCAGGAAAGACGTGGATGGACGGCTCCCCCTCCCCCTCACCTGCAGTGGCCTACCCCCTGACCTCGCTGCACCGGCTGGACCATTATTGAATCCGTATTAGCCACAAATCATGAAGTCTCTGTCTTACCCACTGGCTGAGGAGAGAGGCCAGATCTTTGGTGAGGGTCCAAAGCATTGAGACTCAGCAGGGCCTGTTACAAGAATCAGGTGTTGTGATAGGGCCTGGCACCCTTTGCTGTTCCCATTGCTCACTTGTCTGTCTATCCCGCAGCCTCCTACCCTCCTGGTTCCGCTGGCCGGGCCAGGAGAGGATGGGTGATGGGGAGGCCCCGGGAGGTGCTTGTATATAGTCAGGTGGGACTATGAGCTCTTCTAGCTCAGAAGTCCCATTCTTCCTGGATGGAGAAGGGATGTGGGATGAGGGCACAGAGGGAGGTCCTCTCTCCCCTTTGCCTATTGTGAATTAACTTGCCTCTCCTCAGCCTTCCCCTCCAGACCACCAGCCTGGGAGGGGAGAGGAAGGAGGCTACAGCCCAGAAAACTGGCCTGTGGCAGCTTCCCTCCTCTCCACCAATGTGAGCCATCTTGAGATGTCTGTACAATAGAAACCAAACCAAATGGGCACCCTGGGTTGCCCAGGGGCAGGGCACGGGAGGGGGTGGGAAGAAGGGATGTCTGTCTGTCGACCCCCTCCCCCTCTCCACTCCTTACCCACAAAGGCAAAGACTGTTACAGTAGGGGCTCCACAGGTCCAGTCCCACCCTTGAGGAGGAGCCTTTCCTAGAAACTAGCGCAAACCGCAAAAGTGAGCGACAAGAGAGAAAGCAATGAGGGAGTGAGATGGTGACCAACAAGGGAGGAAACAAAAATAGCAAAAAAGAAAAAAAAAGCAGTTCTTTATAATTTAATATTCTATTTTAATAAAGGCATTTATTACCGTATAAATGTAGCAAAGAACCTGGGCTAATATGAAAAAAAGACTTTTTATTAGGTAATTTATTATATGAAAAGGATATTTTATTTTATGATAAAGTGATCCTTAAAAAAACTTTAGAAGGTTTAGAATATATGTAGGGAGAGAAGAAAAAATACATTTGTATTCAGAGTTAAATCTTAAAAAAGTTTTTAATATATGTTCGGGTTTATGTTCTTTCTTCCCCCCACTTTTTTTTGGGGAGAAATATCATTTGCTTTTCTTGGGGGAGCATCCTGGGATGGCTGGTGGAGAGAGGGGATGGGGGAGATGGTCCCTTCTGGGGCCCCCACCAGTAGATTGGATTTCATTCTGTGGGCTCCCCTCCTCCTCCTCCCCCTCAGGGGAGCCGGCAGAGCCAAACAAAGGAAGGGATTAACCAGAAAGGAAGAAGCTTTGGGACTAAGGACTGAGGGTCCTGGGATGTCCCCTCCTTCCCCTACCCTGTGCCAGGGGCAAGTGAGGGAGAAGGCAAAACTGAGGCCTAGCAGGCCTATGGAAACCCTCAGAGGTGTGAGATTTAAGAGAAATAGATTTTTTTTTAACCAAAAAAAGAGAGAGAAATGAGAAAGAAAAACCGAGGGGTTTAAAAGAAGAGAATACTACAAAATAATTCAAATTTATTTCATATAATCCTAGAGAAAGAAAAAAGAATTACTAGTTACTTAGTAGACAATACTCAGATAGCTTAAAGTTTAGTAGCGTTGTGGGCCCCTGAGCCCAGTAGGAAGTATAAAGGTATGGGAAAAAGAATAGAGGCCGGCGGCTGAGCTGCCCTACCCTGGGGACAGGGCTAGAGCAGGCTGCTAGCTCAGATTGGGAGCTTCCAGTCTGCTGGGGTTGATTCTGAGAATCCTTAGGGTTTTAAGTGTGGGACAGGTACACTTGGGCGTCTGTCCCAAGGTCTTTGCCAGGGTACACACTGGGCATCTGAAACCAGGTGAGACTGGGCATCTGCTGGGAAGCCCCTACTCCTAATGCCCAACCCTCACCCAAGACAGCTTCTCCCAGGCCACACTGAGGAGGTCCTTGAAGTCACCTCAGTCCATCTTGCTACAGGTTGGTTCAAGAGCAAGGTACAACTGTTCACCAATGAGCGTGCAATGCTTGTCGGCCCAGCTTTGCCGTGCCGCAGTGGGAGTGGCGATGCCGTCTAGTGCTGTTTTCCTCACAGGTGCAGTGTTCTTTTATTTTTGGACACAGGGTCTCTAGCCCAGCCTGGCCTTACACAAGCAGCCATCTTCTTGCTCTCTCCAGTTGCTGGGACTACAAGGCATGCCCACCACACTCGGCTTTGTGGAGTCTCAGAGAAGTCACATCCCAAGGAATACTTTCTACTCAGGAAGTAGAGTGCAAATATGGCCTGGGAGAACCTGCCCTCCCAAAGTACAGCGGTAAAAGTAAGAAGCTTTGGTGAGCCCAGTGTAGCCCTCGTGTCCTAGCCTCCCTCCTCTATGTTTAGATAGGGATCACCCACTGGCCACATCGCATCACCTTCCCCGCAGAAAACTGGAAGCCTGGCTTTTGCATGTGAGAAATGAGCATTTTTAAGCACTTGCCTTGCATCAGCCCCCACTGGCAATCAGATCAGGGTGGGGAGAGGCCTCTTGGCTTTAGTCTGAGCAAGCAGTGCAACCGCTAGGGACCCTAGAGCCCAGACACACCTCCCTCTCCCCAGTTACTCTTTTCACCCCATCTAGAGAGTAGAGGTCCCCCTACCCTCTTTGCCCTAGGACCCTCGATAGTTTGAGATAGTAGCATCTGGGCAAGGGAAGAATTTGCCCTTGCCTACAGAGGGTGGTGAGTGCTTGAGAGGTCAGGTGGGTGGGTGGAGGTGGCCCTGGGACAGTAGAGTAGGATTGTGGTCAGACTTGACTTGAGGCACCTAGTGACTCTTGCAAATCACCAAGGAAGATGTTCAAATGCAAAACAAAGGTGGGAAATAAAACAGACCCATGAATAATCAAGTCGAAGTGATGCTGCACACCACGCAGAGAAACCAAGGAGGGGGAGGGTTAATGTATTAAACGTGCGATTGAGAAGTTAATTTTATTAAAAGTATTATTACGTAAGGCTCTGTCTTTCACTGTGTGGCAGCTGGAATTGCACTGGGACTGGTACTCTGGTGTGGGAAATGGGGATTTCCAGGGTTCCCCGCAAAAGATGTGGAGAAACAAAATCCTCCCCTATTCTACCAACTTCCGTTCTTCCCTGTTTCAGGATAGGGAAAGGGCTGGATGGGGTACTCCCCTCCCATCTTAGGAACCTCTCCTGAGTACGTATACTAGGCCGCCCCTGCTTCCTAGGATCTTCCCCCCACCTCTTGCCCATGGCATTAAAGTGACCTCAGTTCTTGGCACCAGAGCTTTGGGTACCAGATGGTGCTGGAGGATGGTTTCTTTTGTCTTCCAAATACCCCTCCCCTCCACACAACCTTCCATCCCCCACCTGCCCTAGGGGTTGGCAGAGGAAAGGGTAGGCAATTCCTGTCCCCTTGGCACTGTCCCCAGACAGAACTCCAGAAGCAGGCCCTGAGGGGCAGCGGAGATGGTAGAGATGACAAAACGGGATGGAGAAAGGAATCAGGGACTCAGGAGAAGTCAAAGTTGGAAGGGCAGCACTGACAATTCAACAAGGGGCAGATGGAAGGCAGCAGGACAGCCAGGCGTGATACAAAACAGCTTTATTGGGGGGGGGGCTAGCCTGTGAGGGATGTGGGCAGATGCTAGAGACATGGTAGGGCCCTAGCCTGTGAGGGGTGTGTGGGCGGATGCTAGAGCCGTGGAAGGGCGTGAGGACCCTGTGCTTGTGAAGTGGGGGGAGGGAACGACTCAAGGGTAGAGAGAAGTCCTGCAATTGGGTGGGAGGGACCCGAAGGCTGAATGAAGGCAGTGACTCATGGCTGACCATGACTGAATTCAGAGGTTGATGCAGCAAGCCTTCTTCTCCCCAGGGCCAGAATCCTGTTCAGTTTGGGCATTGCCCAGGGTGATGGCATTGGCCCGGGTGCTGTTCTGTCTCTGCTTGGACACCTTTGCAAAGATCTCTAAGAACAAAGGGCGGTAATCAGGCCAGAAGTTTAATGTTCCACCCCTAACCATGCCATTTCTGAGCACGGGTGGCCACCCCAGAGTTTTTGCTGGAAGGAAGTAGTTTTGACACCTGGGTCTTGTCTGGGTAAACAAAGAGCCCAGACTCAGCCCCCTAAAGACAATGAGGCCTTCTGGTTCCTTCCTTAAACTCTAGGATGAGTGGAGGGATAGAGGTGGGACCAGTGGCTCTGAGGAGGCTGGAGCCCTCAGTGGACTGGAGATAGGACAGGGTATCCCACCTGAAATGGAGCACCCAATGTGGGTAGACTCACCTTTGAGGACAGTCTCAAAGGCCAGCTCCACATTGGTGGAGTCCAGTGCTGAGGTCTCCAGGAACAGCAGACCGTTGTTTTCTGCAGGAAAGGAAGCACACATTAGTCGTGGATCATGGCAACACTAGTGACTTTTATTTAGTGCTTTCTATGTCTTTTTTTTCTATATGCAAAACCTTTGGTAGAAAGTAGCTCATCTAATCCTTTATACAATCTATACGGTAGGTTCATTTAGGATAGTAAAGCCTAGACATGCAGAGAGAATGAAGAAGGAACTTGCCTCGTGGCCTACATCTAGTCACTGACCAAAAGGAGGCCAGATGCTGTAGAGGAGTAAATGAGACGGCCACCAGGAGCCCACAAGGGGCCCTGACTGAGTATTGCAGGGTGGAGGCCATCCGTCTTACAATCAACTGTGAACAACTGCGAATGAAGCCAGTCTCACAGCAGGGAAGCAGGGGAGGTTCATGGGTTCCCAAGGGGACTGGAAGCAGTGAAGCACCTGGGGGACAGACCCCTCCAGCCCTAATGTGTGAGTAATGAAGAAGCTGGACTGAGAAAGGGCGACCCTCACCAGCAAACATGCAGGCCTCCTCCGTGGGCACCTCCCTGGCCTGGCTCAGGTCACTTTTGTTCCCCACCAGCATGACAACAATAGTGGCTTCAGCGTGGTCATAGAGCTCCTTGAGCCAGCGCTCTACAACGGCGTAGGTCTGGTGCTTCGTTAGGTCAAATACCAGGAGCGCTCCTACCGCTCCGCGGTAGTACCTGTGTGGGGTTGAGAGGAAGGGATGGACAGAGCATAGTCGTCAAGCTAAATGCCTGACATCAGTGTGCCAGCAGTCAGGACCCCAGCCCCTGCAGGGCACTCAAGGTCCCTTGTGCTGCAGAGATGCTGGTCTGAGAGTGCAGCGTCACCGCCTGGCTCCAAACCCTACCAGCTCAAGGCCTCCTCAATCTTCTGCCTGACTTCAGCCTTGCCCACCCACCAATGCCCACTTGGACTCTGAGCAGGTATGCGCCTGGATCTTCCACTTTTAATGTCCTCCTCACACAATGGCTTCTTCTTTTGGCATCTTTTCAAGGTGAACCACATGCCTGCCCCTTGAACCAGTCAGTACCTGGCCTGAATTCCGAGTTCAAAAGGCCATCTTCAGATTGGGGGCATCTAATTATTCCTTGTTTTGTTTTGGGAACTCAATATGTAGCACAGATTGGCTTCAAACTCAAGGCAATCCTCCGGCTTCAGCTGTTATTACAGGTGTGAAACACCATGTGTGGTTTATTCATAGCTTATTTATTTTATTTCTTTTAAAGATTTATTTATTATGTATACAATATTCTGCCTGCATGTGTACCTGCAGGCCGGAAGAGGACACTAGATTTCATTACAGATGGTCGTGAGCCATCATGTGAGTGCTGGGAATTGAACTCAGGTCCTCTGGGAGAGCACATCTCTCCAGCCCCTTATTCCTAGTTTATTAACAAATCAACCAAGTCTTGCTTTTTTGGTTTTTTTGTTTTGTTTTGTTTTGTTTTGTTTTTTGAGACAGGATTTCTCTGTAGCTTTGGAGCCTGTCCTGAAACTAGCTCTTGTAGTTCAGGATGGCCTCGAACTCACAGAGATCTGCCTGTCTCTGCCTCTGGAGTGCTGGGATTAAAGGCACCACCACCGCCCAGCCTCAACCAAGTCTTATAAGAGGTCAAATAATTAGAAGTAGTGGGTGACTGTGGCCCTTTAGTCTGCATAACAGCCCCCGCTTCCTGCTTCAAGTCTCTTGCGGTTCTGTCTTCCATCATATACGACAGATCAACCACATCTTAGACAGCAGGACCTGACACTGACCAGGAGTTGCTAGATATGGTTCCAGAAGGCCTAATTCTCTGAAGCTTTATAAACTGCATATTCCAAGCTGGGGATATGGCTACTGCATGGGAAGCCATTCGATTCTGAGTACAATCGATCTATCCAGCCATTCATCCATCCACCCACCCATCAATCAATCAATTAATCAACTAATCTAATTTTAAAAAATAGTGATCAGGAATGGTGGGGCATACCTTTAATCTCAGCATTTAGGAGGCAGAGGCAGGCAGATCTCTGTGAGTTCCAGGCCAGCCTAGTCTACAGAGTGAGTTCCAGACCAGCAAGGACTACATAGTGAGTTCCAGGTCTACATGTGAGCTCAGGCTAGCCTGATCTCTAAATCTTACACCAAAGTCCAGGTAACCCTGTCACTTGTGACTAGAAACATTGCTGCCGAGCAGAGCACTGAGCTGAAGTCAGGGGGCATTCTTAGTTCATGCACCTATTTAAACAAGGCACCTCACTTCTTCCTGTAATACTTTAAAATGACGGGTACAAAGGGCTTTGTGTCTTCCTGGGCACAGGAGAGGCTTAGTAAGTAGGGCTATGACTTGCATTAACAGTCATTACATCCTATCTATCCCTGTTGTCAAACATAGAACTTGTGTCTTCATGATTCCCATCACCGGGAACACACAACACACTCCTGCCTCCCGTCCCCCCCAAGGCCTGGGCTCACGCAGAGGTGATGGCTCGGTACCGCTCCAGGCCAGCTGTGTCCCAGATCTGCGCCTTGACGGCTGCGGTGCCCAGCATTACAGTCCGGGTGGAGAACTCAACCCCGATGGTGGTGCGGCTGTCGTGGCTGAACTCATTGCGGGTGAACCGGGACAGCAGATTAGTCTTGCCCACGCCTGACTCGCCGATCAGCACCACTGAGGAAGTGGAGAGAGGAGAGCTGAGCCAGGGCAGAGCGGCTCTGAGCCTACCTGAGCCGGAGAGTCTGTTCAACAGGAAAGAAAGGGGCTCAGAAAAGCAAGATGGCAGAGGCTGTGGTTGGCCACACTGCATAGGGCATCTGCAGGGGTGGAGGGATGGGGATAGACAGACAGACACAGAAGGGCCAGGAGTATTCAAGGCAGCGGCTACTGAGGCAACAGAGTCTGCCTGTGATTCTGGTAACGCAGTGACAGTAACAGTTGTGGGCTGCTCACAGGGGACATGGGAATGACAGGCACGGGAGTTCTGGGGTGCACATTTCCGGACTAGGGGCATGGGAAAGTTGCTGATGTCTGTATGTGAGGTGGAAGGACAAGGAAGGGGGCTTGGGTATGTTATGTGCTTACATGTAAGAAGCGAAAGGTTGGCAGGTGACACTTCTGTAGGTGACAGGAAGATGTAGGAGTACACCTGTGTGTGTGCGCGTGTGTGTCACTGCTTTTCCTGTAAAGGTGTGGGAGTGCACCTGTATGCGTGTGTGTGTGTGTGTGTGTGTGTGTGCATCACTGCCTCTCCTGTGAAGGTGTAGGAGTGCACCTGTGTGTGTGTGCATCCCTGCCTCTCCTGTGAAGGTATAGGAGTGCACCTGTGTGTGTCACTGCCTCCATTCATCCATCCCCAGCCCTGTCTTCAGACCCAGGTCAAGGTCGTCCCCCCCCCCCCCCCCCCCACACACACACACAAAGGATTTCTCCGTAGCTTTTGGTTCCTGTCCTGGAACTAGCTCTAGTAGACCAGGCTGGCCTTGAACTCAGAGATCTGCCTGCCTCTGCCTCCAGGGTGCTGGGATTAAAGGTGTGCCTGGCTTGGCTTTCTTCTCATCGGCCACCATCCAAGCCTTTATGTAGCCTCACCCAGAGGTGCCTGTCACCACTATTCCCATTTTATAGACAAGGAAGCCCCTCCCCCCCAGTAGGTCTATCACTCCAGTAGGTCTATCACATTGTACTAAACACTAACGTACTGCCCACTCCCACCTTTCAGGAAGGGTTTGCCCCACCCCCTCACTGCACTGAACATGGATGTCATGCCTCTCCCGGACAGCTCCCTGTTCCAAGGCTATGGCAGGTGGCTACCCTCTGCCCTGTCCTGAGTCCTCCTGCTCATCTTCACATGGTGGCCAGAGTCAGCATAGTCCCCCCCCCACTTCTCCATGGTGGCACTGGAACCCCATTTGTGCCAACTGGTAAGTGCCAGAGAGGCCATGGGATCACTCAGAATGATGGACCACACCAGGCATGTGAAGATAGTTTGGCACTGGGGGCTCAATAGTTAGGAGTCACTATACCACGGCCAGGCCACAGTCCTACCAGTTTCCTTGGGAAAATGCCAGGAGTACAGGCTCACCAGCTTGGCCAGGGTGGGGCTGAGGTTGGGAGAGGCTGCAGGGTG